GGTCACCTCCTAATAAATATTACATAAAATCTAACTGCTCATTTTAAATCAATACTTTTACTTTTAATTCTTAAGTACAAAAAATTATCAGACACTTTAAGACTTTTACTCAAATAATATTCCTGAAGGAGACTTTTAACTTTTACACAAGTAATTTTTTGGTATACTTTTACTCAAGTATCACTTTGTCATACTTTATACAACACTGTTAAAGTATTCAACAGACATTTGACATTGACATTTCGTGGTACAGATGTTTAGAGGTTTTCCAGTTTCAGCACAAATCAATCAGGGTTTGTACTTTGACAGGGGTGTAGAGAGGGATTTCAGGGTCCTTATACAATGGGGGACACCTCAGGTCACGCCTCCATCTTCTCAGGCTCTACTCCTGTTTTTGCTCCGGCTGTTGATATAACTGTTTAAATGTGCACCAACCCAGATCAGAAGCTGCTCCTCCCTCTGCAGGTTCAGGAGGCTGGTGTCGCAGATGGAGCCCGAGGTCCACGAGGTCCCCCGCCTGTTTCGCACGGTGCTGCACAACTGCGTGGACGAGGTCAACGCGGATGACGTCCACGCCCCGAGTGCGTTTTTCGAGAAGCAGCAGCGCAGCAAGAGCCTCTCCTTCGTTACGTTCCGCACCAAGTTCTGCACGGGCCAGATGTTCAAGGGCAGCGGCCTGAGAGGGTCCAGGGGCAATCTGCAGCAGCAGGTGGATTGGTCTGATGAGGACGATGACGAGGAAGGAGAGGAGGAGGCCATCAGGGCCAGGGCAAGGAAAGGAAGGAGCAAGAGCATGCCAGATATCACCCCAATGGAGCAGAGTGCTCATGGGTGAAAAACAAAACAAATAAAAGAACAAAGGAGAAGATCAGCCATCTACCTGCAAATAAACTGTTTTTAAGAGGCTGAAATGTTTACTGTGAAAACACGGTTGAGTTTTTACCCACAGCAATGCCCTAATGACATGGTTAAAGTACCTGTGACATAAAATTTACATGAAAAACATTGCATTTTTGGATATAACATTAATAATGTATAACAACAACAACAACAAAAAGAAATTCAAGCCTGTTATTTGCATGTGCAATAACAGGAAGTGATGACAAAAGCAAAAGCCTGCATGTAAGCAGAACATAATGTCTAAAAACACTAACAGTAGTGAATTTGATGCTTCTTTAGTTTATTTTGAGAAATTCTCGGAGAGATGAAGAGTCAGAATTCAAACAATGTTGTCTCAACAAACAAAGATCAGGGAGTTCCCCTTTTTAAAGAATTCCCCTTTGACATCACTTCTTGTTTCACTTTGGTTGTGTTCAACAAAAATACATCAGTTAAGTGATAAAATGGATAAAATCATAATGTATTATATTTAATTTCTTTAATATTCAGATGATTTCTTCCACTTTTTGCATTTGTACAAAATGAATGTCACGGGCACTTTAACACAAGCAGCAGATTAAATAAAATTACCATTGTCACTACTTCAGCAATTTTACATTTATTATTACTACAAACAAAAAGTAGATGCTAGCTTAGCAGATTCATAAACCAAACTTGTCAAATTAACATTTTAACTGTCAAAAGGATAAGTATTATTTATCCTGAGAAAATTAACATTTTATCTTGTGATTTTTCTAATTCATCAGCTGTTTGAACCAACATCCCTAACACATAGTGTGAATAAAGAATAAAAATTATGACTCCTGCACCTCAGATAGCTTTAAAATCAAATGCTTGATGTAAGAATTCCTCATGAATAATTAAAGCAGCTTCTTATGCAACAACAAAAAGCTCCACATTTCCACTTCACTTGGATCTTTTAGCAAAATCATGGCAAACAGCAGTTAAAATCATGTCAATGTTTTTTATTGTCCATATATTTGAGCTATTAAACCTTGTTTTATTATTTAATACAATTAAAGCGTTGCTTTTTCATAACAGTGCCCGTGTTTTGCTTCAACAGCCGAATGGCTCAGATCTAAAATCTTTAGGACAGATTTCTGCCAGTTCAAATTGGTGAGGAATATTCCAACACAGGTAATGAGCCTGTGTGGGGTCAACAAACCGGAACCTCTCATAACTTCAGTTTAATAATTTATCTTAAGAAAAAGTCGAACCTCAGTGCCAGCATCCCATTATTTATTAATGTGCACTCTCTCTTCAATACATCATACCTATATGCACTATATACAATGAAGGAAGTCAAGGCATTTGGCTAAAAAAAACAAGGTGAAAATAGAAACCATTTCTTTTTTCTTTTTTTACAAAGTAATGGTCATTTAAATATTTGTCTTAAGAGGAAAAGGAGGGGAAGAAACGATAACAGAGATCCAACCAGACACTTCCAGGGAATCTGGTGGATCAAATCACTTCATTAAGGGTCGTCTCCATCCAGAGAAAACCCCTTCATAAGTTCCGATCCACTCCGTGGCAGTTTTAAAACACTTCCTGACTGCATCTGATGAGTTAGTTTAGATTAAAATACCAGTTTAATATAACTTTACACTCTGCGCGACTCAAGCTCAGTTCAGTTCAGACGGCTCTGCCTTCAAGCATCTTAGCTTTATATCACAGTTTAATAAGAGTACCCATTTGGCAAAAATCAACTTCATCAGAAACAAAACATAACTGAAAAAAAAAACAACAAAAAACAAAACAAAACAATATTATAAAGAAAAGTGGTGGACTAAGAATCTACTCAAGTTCTTCTAACAAAAAGAAGATAAAAAAGCAAACTAATATGAGAAAAGAGTCCAGTTCTATTGTTTGGCTTCGAAATAATTAAAAAATATATAATTAAAATGGGTGAAGAAGAAAAAAAAACAGTTTGCAGAATCAAACTATTAAATTACAGCCATTTTGAATAAATGTTTAACAATAGTTGGTCAAAGTAGAATGCAGAGCAGGCTTTTTGCTCCATTCACAATTTTATTTGGACAGAGTTCAACCTCCTCCTCCTTCAAGCTGCTGAGTCAAGAGTCCACGGCTTGCAGGCAACCAAAAAGGTCCGTATTCATTTCAACCCCAAGCCTCAGTTAAACCGTTACAAAGAAGTCTGTCTCTCCAGTAAGCTTTGGGTCTCGGTCCAACTCTAGCTTTTTAAATCTCAATCAGTTTGATGTGCTTCCACCCCCTCCCTCCAGCTGGTTTTCTTTTTTTTTACTTTTAGGCAAAGAAGACGACAAAGATGATAAAGAAAACAGCGAGAACAAGAAAGATCTTGATCATCAGCCAGCGGTTGGAGGAGACGGACTGGAAGTATTTGAGGATTTCTGTGTGAGCAGCCTCAACATTCAGCTGTGTGTCCTCCACGTTGGCATCGATCCTGAGAGAAGAGGGCAACAGGAAGTGAGAGGTGACCGTCAAACCACACTTTTCTTTTTAAAGAAGGCTAAAGAGGAAGTATTTATACTGTTCAAAAAATATACCAAAGTTTAATTTGACATTTCTACTGAATGTGGGTATACTTCCGAACTTTGTGTTTAGTAGATAATTTCTTTGTTGTAACAATGCTTTCTGGCAACAAATCTTATACTGTTGGAAAGCCTGTTAATTTGCATTTTAAATGGAACCACATTTGTAAGGAACATGCATTTGTGGGATGTCTCACCTCTGAACAGTCTCCTCCTGCTCTTTAACCATGTGTGCCAGCTGCTGGAATATAGAACCCAGCTCCACGATGGTGCTCTCGATGTTCTGCATGGTGTCTGCACGGCTCTGGATATACGACTCCTTGAACGAGAAAACAATAAACATTTGAAAAATGCCAGTGTTTCTGTCAAATATCTCAGCAAGGAAAACCTCCACTGCACACCTACTGACTTTAAAAGAGCGTTTCTCTAATTGTGACAGTCTACCTGCTCGTCAATAAGCATTAATGAGTTGCTTTGAGAGTCCATGTCGATGGCTACGTCGCCCATGCTCCGAGATTCATCCTGCATCAGGACCGAGCTCTCTGAAAGGAAAAAATACACCTGTGATCAACAAGATTGGGTCAAAACTCTGAATGTTACAGGGGCAAAGCAGGAAAAACAAAAACAAAAAAAGAGAGACAGCAGGCATGTACAGGAGCTAGAACCCACTGTGAGAGGCAAGCGTTCCAGGAAAATACCTTTTAAATTTGTGGTTGTATAGCCCTGGTAGTCATTGCGCGGCTCGCGAGCTGCATGCGGCTCCTGGGCCCCTTTTTTGCGGCTCCCTAAAATATTTTTTAATTCTTGCATTACAGAGGACCAAATACAGTGATAATCATTCACAAGGACTTTAAGCAGTGCCCTACCACAGCTGTTGTGCTCTAGAAGTCAAAACATCTCCGCAACTTGTGAAGAAAACTGGAAGCGGCATGCTCTTCGGTGGCATGCACTTTGATTGTTGTCGGATAATTAATGCACAACTAAGACGTTAAAATTTCAGTAAGAAATTGCCAATTCTCTTCCCCACCCCCGAATTTTTGTCTCCAATTTTGACAGCCAGGTCAGATATCACCTTCAGTTTACGAAAAATGTTGCCGATCAGAACTGAACCACACTTATTTACAGAGTGGTATTCCAAGAAATATGAAACATTACAAACATTTCTTATTTCATCTTTCAACAAGTTTACAATAAGGAAATGTATCAAATTTAGGCTAAAAATCCTGAAGTAAATACCATTTTATTAGCTGTGTAATTTGATGCAAAAAAAAACATTTAAGAGGAGCTCCGAGTACATTTTAGACTATTTTTAGTAAAAAACAAATTGTTCTGTAATAATAGAAATTTAACAGGAAGCAGATGTGTAACACTGCCTACACATAAAAGCAAATTTAAGTCTCGTTTGCTACTCTTTCATGACTCATCTGCTCAGATACACTATCGTTTTGCTGAGGGTTGTTTGCTCAAACGACACGAGATTTTTAAGCGTTTAATGTGGGTTTAGACTGAATACGCTGCACAAACTGTCCCCATATTGAGTGAACACAGCAGAACGAAGCTACATAAACATGCTATATTGTTGCCACAAATTTAAAATGGGACATTTGTAAGAATTGTTGCACATGACAGCGAGACTGAAGCTGAGATGGAGGCAGACTTACTGAAGTTGTTGGCCATCATAGGTGAAGACGAGGCGGGAGGCTGGGAGAACTGTTCTCTCCTGCTGCGCTGCTGCTTCAGGTTCTATAGAGGAGACAAACCACAGAAAATTATATGGACATGTCTCTTTAAAAACTCTACTTAAAGGGTGCTTTTAGAATAAGGTTCAATAACAGCTCTTACCTCAGTTCTGATTTCTAAAACTGATTTGAAGTCATTCGACATAGAAGCCAGTTTGGACTGTAACAAAGAATACAAAAAATATATAAAACCACATTTCAGTGTAATGCAGACAGAATTTAAAGCAGTATTTTTGTATTAAAATAGTCAAAAAGGTGTAATTTAACAATACAAAAATGTTACAACTTTTTAACTACAGTTTTCCCAATAGATGGTTCTCTTTTAATGTGCCACTAGACATTGAGACAAAAGGATAAGTGGCTAGGACCTAGCATTAGCAACGTGGCACTCTCCTACTGTGGCATTGGAAATTATATGCGCCGCTCATCTTCATCTGTCATTAAAAATGTTGCTGTATCACTCCGCTCACATGCCACCACAGTAGTGCGGTATCTCCTGGTAGTGTCTGCCTTGGTCAACGTTTCCCCACCCCGAATTTTTTTATAGCTAATGTTTGTGGTTCCTCCATATTAGTTTACAAGCTAAATGCTAGCCCACAAACATGGAGTGGATGGTGAAAAAGTATCATCAATGAGAACCATCCTAACATGTACTTCTTTAGAGCTTATTCATTATTTATACGTTTCTCTGAAATGAAACTTTTATGAATTCACCTGTAATGACACGACTATAGTGTTCGAATGGGTTTGGATGTGTCGACCACCCGGAGCGCCACGAGACCTCACCAAGTCCTGCAGCTGTGCAATCTGTTTGTTTAGGCTGTTGATGTCCTGCAAACATAAAACATCACTAAATCTCAGCAATTTTTAAATAAATATTGTAAACCTGATATTTCAAAAGGCACTGGCGTAACCTACTTGTTTAATAATGTAAGTTAGCTCCTCGATCTCCACTGCCTTGTCGTCAAATAAAGATTTCTTTTTGGCCACTGGAAGATCAATAACATGCAAAAATGAGCCTTTTAGACAAAATCACATACAGATTTCCTGCTGAAGGAATATAAAACGAACACTTACAAATAGTGAGCTTTTCCAATTTGGCGAACGTATTGCTCAAGTCTTTTCCAATTCTCCTACAAAGAAAACAAAATAAATGGTGTACAAATACTAAGGAAATTTAGATTTTTGCATATTTAAGTTATATTCAATAAAACATATCAGTATTTAGCTGTGGTTGTCACTTTATAGGCCATTCATAGGTAGGCAATAATAAAAAAATTGATCATTTATTCCAGTGGTTCCCAAACTTTTCAGCTTCTGACTCACAAAATAAAAGCAGCAGAGACCTGTGCCCCCAACTATTTTTGGTTGATAAAAGATTGGTATCTGGTCAAATGAATAAGGGCAAAGTTACAGTATTCATTATGCTATTGTCATCCATTTCTAGGTACACTGACTTCACTCTTTTGTAACAACTAAGACAAAAAGCAGTTGTTTTTAGTCATTTTTAAATGCAATTAATTTTGAAAATATTTTAAAAACCCCTCCTTGATGTTTCAGGACACACAGTGGGGTCCTGATCACAACTTTGGGAACCACTGGTTTATTCTATTTAACATGCAGTAAAACAAACAGCATATTTGTAAGTGAGCCACCAACATGAAAGGTTTATAATCTGAAAGTACTGCCAAAACAAAGAAGCCTGCAGAGCAAAACTTGTCTGGCTCACAGAATGCACTAAACACTGTAACACTCAGCTAGATACAACAAAAATACGAAGGCCCTTTGATGGACCAGATGTGGTTGGCCAGAGGTAGTCCACGGCCCAGCAACAAATAAATCAAACAACTGGGCCGCTTGCGACATCCCATCTTAAAAACAATGCCACCAGTGCTAGACCTGGCCCACATTGCAATGCCAGCAGTGATACCAGATCTGACCCACAACTTCCTGCTAGGTGAGGGAGGCTATCAGGATCTTACTTGGCCATGAGTGTGAAGTCGCTGCGCTGCTTGAGGGCATTAAGAGCTGGCTTACTGGGCTGGACTCCATTCTGAGAGGGAGAGATACAAATAAAAAACAAGAGGCTTAAATAAAGAATAAAAGGTCATGAAGTACCAATACACAAGATTTCGTAAAAAAAAAAAATCTAGGAAAATAAAAAGAAATGTATTGTTCAGTTCATTACTTGAATATAAACTCTAAATTCGTACTACAGGTGTTTTGATTGAACAAAGTTTGTAGTTTCTTATGAACCTGCTTCAGTGCAGTTTGTTTGTAATCAAATTCTTCCAAACAGGATAATCAAGAATCATAGGACAGATTGACTACTGTGAAAAAAACAAAAAACAAGACACCAAGAAAACAGGAAACAAAAAGCAAAAGTAACTAAACATTTATATGAAGCTACTTAAAAATAGCAATCAGTGAAAGCAAATTAATATAATTTAGGTTAACATTTTTAGTAAGTTTGGGATAATTTAATCTAATTTTAATGTTAAATGTCACTGACATAACTGTGCTGAGGTGGCTTTTGTTTACTCCAACATACCTGTCTGCCCTGGAGGGATTTACAGGCCGACTGGAACTCGACGGTTCGGTCACGGCACGTCATTCTGACGCCAGTAAAAAGTGTCAGCAGGGTGATCCGCACCACTTAGACTGAAGAGTCCCCCCTTCACCTGAATTCTGTCTGATGAATAATAAATCCCTCCCGATGTGCGGACCAACTCACATCCAAGGAGGAGTATCCTTCATGAACATACGGACAAACATGTCTGCGACGAAGGAAAGACATCCATTAGTTGAACTGCTACAAAAAATACCTTTAGTTCCTCAAAAACACGACAAAAACTGTATCAAAAAAGACCGGAAAAAAAAGTAAACCACTGTACTCTCCACACAAGAGCCAAACATAAGTATCATTAGGTAATAGTGATTGGCTCAAGTCTTGGAGAACCATCACGACGCACAGCTGATCTCGGCCTTACCGGCTAACCGGCTAACGATTAGCTAAAGAACGCTAACAGGCTTACGCCCGGTTTCCTTTACCATTACCGTCCATTAACTTCGCTCTAAAACCACCACCACCGCGTTCATTGTTAATTACAACACAAATACTTATTTAGGCTTACCTGAATTGATATCACACCCTGTTTCGACAGTCCTCGATGGCTCTAGAGAGAAGAAGTCAGCCGTGTAGTTAAAGTTTCGATCCGGGTCATTTCCGGAGTTGACGTCACTGCCACGTCTACTTTACAGAGACGGAGAAAAAAAAACCCTGCTGTTTTAGATTGATGCCGCTAGGGGGCAACATTTCTCCTAATTAAGATGGTTGGCCTGCAGCAAAAATAAATACAAAGAATGACGTAAAAAAGTTTTAAAATTAATTTATGCTTCATATGAGACAATTAAATTCGGACTGAATTAGAATAAATGTGTTTGTTTTATCATGTTTTATAAGAAAAATTGTTCTCGGATTATTTGTGACACTAATTGAGCTGAACAGTAAGGTCTGATGTGGATAGTTTTAAACATGTTAGAGAAGTATTACTGAAAATTAATTAAACAGTCTGTTCTGGAGTTTCTGTTTCAGATCTGTTTGCCATAATGCTGACATGTATGTTGTTGAGGAATAAGATATGATTGGCTGCTGCCTCAGGCGAGTCGACCTGCAGGTATGGTATGGAAAGATGAAGATAAGATCCAGCAGACTCTCTGAAGTCCTTTTGCTCCTGCTGGTACCCGCATCCTCCTCCAGACAGGATTAAGCATGCCTAAACCACAACTATGTCTTCACCTGCTGGACCCCCAACCACAAAAAAAAAAAAAAAAAAAAAAAAAAAAAAAAAAAAAAAATCAGCTCAGCTATACCTGTCAGCTTTTAGTCCTCACTTTAGTCCACCCAGGACAACAATTCTTCTGTTCATGCTTTGAAACATTCATCTTTGTGATGTTGCCAAATATTTAAATTTATTTTCTTGTACATATCATCCATATTTAATCTTATTCAAACTATTTAGGTCAATCTGTGTAGTTGTTTAAATCAGCACATTTTTTTGTATTGAAGTGTATGATAAAAGGGGACTGAACCCTAAAATAAATTATCAGATATTTTGATGTGTGGTTCATGTGGAAAGGTTAAGCACAGGTTTATAACTCATTTGAGAAAACAGAATATAAACCTGACTGATGAACAGTTAGCTTTAGCACATCTGGTGCAACCTGGTGCAGAAATTATATTATATTTCTGCCGCAATAACTGCAAAATAATGTTTTGAGAATGGAAAATTGTATATTTGTTCCACACAGTTCTTTGTAAATAGTTGAATAAATGATATGAAAGTTTATAATAAGTAAAAGCATAAAGTATAAAGTTTATAATATAGTCTTATTTATGTGTTTTTTATTTATGTGTGCGCATGTCTTGTTTATAATAGTCTTGTGAATATTTGAGAGCATAAATTAAAAACTGTTTTTAATCTTTCCACAGACACCCAACACATCTAAACAATCATTTTCTAAGTTTAAAATGACAAAAACTCTCCTCAGTTTCACATTGTCTTCTGTGATTATGGGGACAACATGTTGGCCTTTTGAAACGCCACGTTGTAAACTTCAACATGGTGATGGAGATTACCATCAGGGATTTTTAAAAACCACTCACTTCTTTATCAAAGGTGAAATCTTCACGCTTAGTTCCTAATTTGTTGACTTTGCACATAATGTTTCCCACGCTGTAAAAATAAAAGAGTAAATCTTTTATCTTTTAGGCTGATGTCCTTCAGTGGAGAGAGACAGGCAAGGTCTGTGGATGTTGAAGATAACAAAGTTTGTTTTTCGGCCAAATACAATATAAAAAAAGTTCTTTGTGTTCACATTTACCATGCTAACACTGAACTGCATCTCACATTTTTCTCTCTCGCACACACTGATACCATCTAACAACACACACGGTCACAGACCAGATAGAGTCCAGTACCTGCTTCGACACAGCTGCTGCTACACTGAGCAGGATGCAAACCATGGCTGCAGTTTTTAGAAAAAACACAGCCTGAAAGCAGAAAAAAGCAATAATATAGGAAGTCCTGGTTTGAAGCAGACTGAGAGAAACAAAGCATAAAGGGACAAAGAGGGACCAGATGGGAAGGAGACATGAACTGATGCATAACAACATGAGATACAGTATATCAAGAAATGTGGTGTTTCTTTTTTAATAAGAATTTTGGAGCTTTTAGAGATGCAAAACTCTTAAAAATAAATCCTGGAAGGGAAGCATCCTCTCTGCATCAAGATATATGACTCACTCTGTCCTTTTCTCTTTCTCTGTCTCCCTAATCTTGCAGCTATATTTAGTTCTGGCATCATGCCCTTCGACAGGGAGGTTGGTAGCGGCAGCACTTTACTGTAGCTCTTCTCATCTTCCTCTCCTTTTTCCCTCCTTCTAATTCTCATTTTCTTCTCCTTTCCTTTCCTTTCCTTTCCTTTCCTTTCCTTTCCTTTCCTTTCCTTTCCTCTCCTTTCCTTTCCTTTCCTTTCCTTTCCTTTCCTTTCCTTTCCTTTCCTTTCCTTTCCTTTCCTTTCCTTTCCTTTCCTTTCCTTTCCTTTCCNTTCCTTTCCTTTCCTTTCCTTTCCTTTCCTTTCCTTTCCTTTCCTTTCCTTTCCTCTCCTTTCCTTTCCTTTCCTTTCCTTTCCTTTCCTTTCAATGGATTTTACAGTTTTGTCATACATCTATAAATACATGTTTATAAGTTAAATGGATAATTCGGATGTTTTGAGGTGAGGTTCAGTTGAAAGGTTTTAAATAATCATTATCTAACCTATTGTAGATAGCTCTTTGAACACTCATAGTTTGAAGACTTTTTTTGCAATCCAAAAAAAGTTGAAAACAAAACAAAACTGGACTTCTATTCTGCAGCTGAAGACCTTTTTTTCCTCACATTTTTTGAATTGAGAGGGCTTCCTGGGCAGGAAGTGAAACATTTTCAGTTTTAGAATAGAAGTCCAGTTGTTTTGTTTTTCTTGTTTTAGATTGATCATGATGACCTGAATGACTGGGAATCTTCACCAGCATATTTTGAAGTATACTGATGAGCTAGTCTGACTCCAATCTCAAAATTTTCACAGCAGCTCTTGAAATAATAATTTCACATATCTTTAGTTTCCTATTGCATGTTAATTTCACTGAAATATATTGATATTCCTACCTGAAGTGATTCATTTAGCTGCAACTACTGTACTTTGTGCTTTAAAACAGAGTTTTAGGTAAAGAATCAAACAATGTAAAATTCATGTCAATATAAGGGTTTATATCACAGTGTTTTTATGAACTGCTCTTAAGATTTTGCCCATTTAATGTGGTGTCCTTGTCTCAAATCTTGTCATTGTCTGGGTTACCTACAATGACAACATGACACTTTCACCTCTTCCTTTTGTTTCAAGATGGCAACAACCCACTTTGATCTTGGTTCCACCACTCCACTGGGTTAGCTTGTTAATCTGATTAGAAATTAAGTTTAAATCCTTAATTCAAGGTCCTTCAAAAGCTATCTACAGCGGGTAAGATATTAACTGTTCATAGTGGCTTTAATAGGCAGTAACTACATATATCAGGAAGCATTTGGTTTGCAGTAATAAATGTTAAAGTGCAATCAAATGGAGATTAAACATCGTTAACTGCAGGAGGAAATCAGGGTCAAATACTGACCAGTTCTGCTGCAGTCAGTCAGATTCAGATCATGATCAAAATGTTTGTTTTTATTTTACTTTCTGCATCACTTTAAGGAAACTCATATTAGTCTTTCCCAACGCAACTTGAGTTTGAATCTGCAGCCCTGACACTGACCACCGAGCTGCTGCAGCCCCTACAAAGTGTGAACACAACACCAAATAAATTCTTCAATCAGAGGCTCTCACACACTTGCAACAACAAAAATAAACTCCTCTTCTCTACACATTCCTGACACAGAAGCACAAATTCAGCAAGAAAAGAGCACCAGATTTAAACGCAAGTGACTGCAAGAGCCTCATGAGTGTTTGAATAAATTAAAATTTCACACAGACAGAGTGAGAGAGAGAGAGAGAGAGAGAGAGATTGAGGTTGCACACACCTTTGTACTTCTGACTCAGCAGCACAGATGAGAGGAGGCGTAGGAACAATATTATGTCTCAAAACATCACGTCACATCGCGTACGCACTTTTCGCGGAGCCACAACTCCCAGGGTGGCAGCGTAATGAAAAAAGGCCTGTTTATCTTTCATTAGAGCCAAACGAGAGAACCAAAAACAAAAAGAAACAAAAGCAGGAGCAGGAGGAGGAGGACAGAGCCGAGAGCAAATCCGACGGGCAGGAAGAGAACAAAAAAAAGGGGGTTTATATGAAAAATAAGACATTTCCTTTAATAACATCTGTAACATCATGGTTGTGTTCTGGTATAGTTCTGAATATATTTGAGGATGCAGAATACACTTTCATGAGGACACTGAATCAGTTACTTTTTGCTAATACAACAAAAACCTGCATTGTTTTCTACAGACATCATAAAAGGGCACAAATGGTGTAGCAGCAAAACAAGAGTGTAGTTCTTCTCTCTACGTAGGCTACAGTAGTAATTGCAGAGTAGAGATTCATCGCAAGGAACAGCTAAAATGAAAATTACAAATACATTTCTAAAATATGCACTAAGTCATACACAGTATGGATATGACAGATTATTAGATGCTATATAGTTCAGTAAGGTAAGTTATATTTAGACACCGGAGGCTGAACAGCAGACTGCGCAGACACAAATCACAGAGATGTTTGAGGCTCACGAGATAAGGACATCTGAATAAGATATTAACACGTCTACCCTTTAATCTGCAGGGGTCGTGACGTCAGAAAGACAGGACAGATAACAGCACATCTCAGCAGTTTTACCTAAGAACAGGAGAAAACTTGGTCAAAACATGTAGAAGCTGGACCCTGAAATGTTCTCTGAGCACTGCAGTTTCAGAAGGAATGTTTAACGTCACACAGGTCTACATGAGAGGAAAACATGTCACGTTTCTTCTTAATAATATACATTTTTACTTCCTGTGTTCCAGGGGACTGGTTCTCATATATGTGCTCTGCAATCTCAAACGCAAGTGCAATCTACTGAAGCTCAAGGACTCTGAGATTTCCCAAAATATTTGTTAAAATAAGCCTTTTCTTCAATTATTATTGGAAAAAATATGGAAAATAATTTAATTAATGCAAATAAAGAAACACGAATGATTGGAAAAGTAAGTAAAGGAGAACCTCTAAACAGTTCTGATGTTTGCAAAGTGGGATTCTGTGGAAAGTTTATAAACAACTAGTATCTTACCTGTTATAGATAGCTCTACAGTATGACCTTAAATTGAAGAAACAGCTGCAACAGCTACTTACCCTTTTAAATAGCTACAGTATCCTATATAAAGAACAAAAAATATGTTGAAAGTTAATAAAAAGGTACTTTAATCAACCCTTTGAAATTATTAAAAGTTCATTTTTTTAAATGGCAACAATTCACTTTGGTCTTGACATTATTTCGTCAACTATTTGGTCAGAATTAAACTTTATTTTTCTAAACTGAGGCTGTTCTACAGCAAGTAAGGTAACAATTGTTTATAATCTTTCCACTGAACCCCACATCACATGGTCTGATCCACCCCCTAACGGAATGGTTGTAAAAATAAATTAATTGGGAAGTACACGTTCTTGCTATAAGTTAGATGAGAAAACTGATACAATAACTCATGTATCATATAAATATGCAGTTCAGCTCATCAGCTGGGTGGTTTATTGTGGTATTAAGAAAGAAAACAAGACTAAAGCAGCTCAACTCTTTCCAAAAGTAACATAATCTCCCTTTAACTGAGACCTTTAACCTCTCCACCTAGGAGGTCTGTGCACCAGGACCATCTGCCATTAAAACCCAACTTGTCTGAATGTTCTTTGAGTTTTCTCAAAGAGACAGATTTTAGCTTTTAGGACAAACAATGTCTTCAGCTTCGTTGAGCTGAATCTGTTTTTAACCAAACTAAGCAGCGCTGCTTTAGATTTGAAGCTGTTATTTATGCTCATGAAGCAGAAAAAATAAAAACTTCAACTTCGAACTTCAGTCGGACAATGAGAATAAGGAGGTCTAACTAAATTGTCTCAGGTGTCGTGAGAGGGGTTAACTTTGGTTTTGTAGTTCTACAGGTGTTGCTGACAAGAATTTGGAAAAATTTCAGCTGAGAGTCATTACTAAAAACCACCAAATGAAGTGCCTTTAAAAATATTCTGGTCCTTCTGTCAGTCTTGTGTATTTGTATTTCTGCGGTATATATCCCGATTATAAGAAACATCCATGTTTGCAGTGGTGGGCACCGCTAACCAAAAAGCTAGCTTTGCTAACTCAATTCGCTTAATGAAAATATAGCCTTTCCTAATGCTAAACATGTAAAATAAAAATAGCTGAATTTAACACAAAAAGCTAATCGCTAACCACTAAGACGACTGTCAGTCAGTCTGCGTCACCAGCCTTCGTCTCTTTCCAGCTGAAGACTGGTGGGACTGACACAATCCTGCTGATGTTAGTTTGTAAGTTAGCTGTTAACTGACTTAAAGTTGGAAAAACCTAATTTATCAGAGGCCAATTGTCTGCTAATGGTTTTCAAAGTTAGTAAAAAACAAGTCTGCTAAACAAAAAAATTAGCTTCACTAATGCTAAGCCACAAAAACATAAAAAACATTAGTGGAAGCTAAAGCTAACAGCTAATTGCTAGCTGCTAAGATGACTGTCACTCAGTCTGCATCACACGTCTTTGTCTCCTTCCAGCCGAAGACTGGTGGGACTGATACAAACATGATGTTAGTCTATTAGTTAGCTGTTAGGCTACCAGACTTAAAGTTGCCAAAACCTAATATATCGGAAACTAATTGGTTTGCTAACAGTTTTCAAAATGAGTGAAAAAGCTAATCCACTAAACGAAAAATTAGTTCCGCTGTTTTATTAGCTGTTAGCTGGACCATGCCCACCACAAGCATGCTTATATTTATCCTATAAAATATGAAATATAACATTAATAATCTCATATAACTTAATAGTACACTTCCCAAAAATAATTACTGCATGGTTGTAATTGGTCATTAACTTTGAGGCTAAAAAAGCTCTGGGAAATCATCTTTATCACTTTTTCACACAGTGTCTGGTCTGTGTTTGGAGGACCAGCTCAGCTCTCCTGTCATAGAAAAATCTTCTCTTCAAACCAGTAATAATCAGTCCCTACACCAGAGACATGTGCTTATTGCCAAATGATCTAACACAGAGAAAGTAACAATAATGCTCTAATACTTTGTCATTAGTATAGTATACATAGAGGTAGTGATTGAAGCGTTGATTGACAGCAAATAACACTGAACAAAGGGCATGAAAAAAAACAATCTCATCTCAGGAGAGTATAAATACAAAGCTTATCTCAGCAGCCACTCGAACAAAGTTCAGGTAGCTTCAGGGCTTACACATAAATAGTTCACACTGGAGGCTACATGATGTTTCTGGGTGTTTTCTTCAATCGGCAGGTTTGGGTGAAACCTGACAGGACGGAGGAGGAGAGTGAGTGCAGACAGGCGTCGTGAAGTTTTTTGTTTTCTAATCCTAAACCGTAATATGGCATGGGTTAAATGTTCTTGGTTAAATTTGGCGTAGCTGATGGGCTCTGAATGGGTGTTGGGGTGAAAAAAACGGGCTTTAAACTCCCTGACCTGCCACTTCAGCTCCTCTCTGAGCTCTGCACACTGACTGACAAGCTGCTCGGGAAGTGAGCCGTCACATTTCAAAACCCTGTTTTCAGCCCAGCAGCCAAAACGAAACAAAACAAGAAACCCCTAAGATTCACTCAGAATATAAACAAGTCATGTTTTGAACGAATAATACTCTCCCCATCCGGTCTCTAACACGCAACAACAATAGCTATGTTTTCCTTTCACCGCACCAGGGATGACTATTTGCTTGGTTTCTGTGTGCTGCCCACAACACCACCCCAGTGATTGTTTGAATTACACACTGTAATGTATAGAGTCCCCCATTTGTGGCTCGTGTGAGCCCTCTCTGTTTAAATTCAACACATTTAAAGTGGGCCACCCAGCGTGACTCGTTATGCAGAAGGATTAAAGATGAACACAAACAGAAAAAAAAAGAGAAACATTCTGCAATATAATCTGCAATATCTTTCCAATCAGGTCGACAGAATTATAATAAAATATAAAAGTGACATGTTATAAAATACTCTATGCAGATTTTGCTTTAAATCGCAAAATAAACTGACACATCTGTACAAATAAAAAGCTTATGGCTACCTGCATTCATTTCACATTGCATGTATGTGAGTAAATATGAATATGTGCTGAATAGTGTCGTCTGTGTTCCTGGTATTAGAAGTGTGTGTGTGTGTGTGTGTGTGTGTGTGNAGCGGGGTGTGTTAAGGAGCTGAATGGAGCTCGGCGTGGTGATTACTGGAGCTCCTAATTTGAGTAATGAGGCCGGGGTGAGAGGAGAAGTGTGGGTGTGTGTGTGTGTGTGTGTGTGTGTGTGTGTGTGTGTGTGTGTGTGTAAAGCGGTGGAGAGCCGCCAGGCCTCATTATTGTCATTCTCCTCACCGCCTCAAAAGAGAGGCGAAGAGAGGAAAAGCGAGGCAAAGCGGCTCCTTTCAATCGAGGAGCTGAGGAGCGATGGACACAAAGGGCTCGAGTTAAACAAATGCCGGAAAGCGGCTTGGAGAGCCAGCCCCGTGGTCAGACGCTTTGAATGAGAGTGAACGGGTGCGGGGATAGCCCATCTGGGTCTTTCAGCGAGGAGACCACACAGACGCCGTCCGTCCCAGCAGGCAGCTCAGCTATAAGTCCACAGACGCCGGGGTGCCAGCTCATGTCCTCGTCCTATATCCTTCTGCTCTGTCTCACAGTTTATCTGTCTTTTAAAAGCTCGTGGCAGCTGAGATTCCTCTTAATTCGCAGTTTCCTCGACGCCAATTAGTGAAATCTTTCATTGAAGTGTTGATGTTTAACACACCTGTCTGTCCCGTTCATTCAGTTTGTTTTTGTCCAACCATTCCTTTTTTTTCTTTTTCACCTGGTCTCTTTCGTCCAGTCTCTAAAACGACACAGCAGAAAACGTTCGCCTCCAGACGCTGTTCACGAGCTTCTCAAAGTGGTCATTTATACCTTCCTCCACTCGTGTGACACGTGTACATGAAAGCTTTGCCACGGAAGCAAGGGTGGGCGAGGGTGGGGTGGGGTGGGGGTGGGGGGTGCTCGCACACATGCAGAAACACAGCACGTTTAGGGTGTAATGGTGCACTCGTACAGGTCCTAGTGTGCGCTTCTACTAATACACCCGTTGGTCCGGGATGCTGGATGTTCGGGCATCGATGCTGATGCTGAGAGCGGGAGATGAATCGAGTGGAGTTGGAAGAAAGTGGCTGGACCTGTCAAGTCCTGGTTGCTTCACATCTGAAATAAGAACAGAGAGAAGAAGGTTTTAGCAGGAAATACATTGTTTGAGATACAGTGGAGGGTTAACTGAAAAAAAAGTCTGTAGTCAGGCAATACAGTGAGTTACTCTCAGAATCACTTATTCCAGTAAACGTAGACTATATTTTCTAAATCATATATTAGAAGAAGTTTGGGTTTATGTTGAAATCTCATAGTGTTGGTTGAAAACATCAGAGGACCTACAGTAACAACGAGGATCTCCACTCAGGCTAATTTTAGAACAATAGACACGTGACTCAACACCTGGTGTACAAACTATAGCGGCTGTTTTGGTTTCAATCACAGTGCGTAGTTTAGATGTGTTTAAACTTAAAGAAATTCGAGGAAAACAGCATCAAATTCCACAGGGAGAACAACAAAACATTGTGCTACAGTTCTTATAACAGTGAATCAGGATACAACCATCATCCCAACATCATGGAAGGAGTATTTTTTTACTTTTCCTAAGAGAAGGTGCTAACAGCAGGATTTGAGCGATTGAATGAGCCGAGTTTGACCGGAAAAAAGTGCAACCATGGACTTAATGTCTGCTCTAAATATTTTATCAGAGGTAAAAGACCAACACTGGACCACCCTGATCCTATCCCTGCACTCTATCTCTACAAACAGGCACAGTAAAACTTATGTTGTTACTGTAGCCTACTAGCTTTACTTGTAGCATCCATGCTAGCGTTACACAACAGTCTACTACAGTCACATACAGTGATACGTATTATGCATACACAAATTTTAAAGGCCATTAAGTTTCTTTAAATGATGCAAAAATTGACACACACCAGCACACAACAGATGCAGCAAGCCAACCTTTCAATTGAACCCTCCTGTGATTCCTGAAGTCGAATGGGTTGAAATTCGCTCCAGACACAGTTTTTTTCTGTTACAATATGAACAGTGAATCTCACAACAATCCACACGATTGTACGATTATTTGAGAGAGAGGCAGATAATATATGTAAGTTGTGTGATGTCATGTCACGAGTGGAGATCACCAGTGACCAGAAACAAAAAAAATCCAAGCCTGAAGAAGGGATCAAACTCTGGCTGACTGTCAGTTGAGAAACCAAATAGAAACAGTTTTCAAATCCTGAAGTTGTATTCAAATAACCTAATGTAAACAATGAGAGCAACAAATTAGGTATGAAACAGAAGGAAAGAATAAAGAATGCTCTTAAACGAGAGCAAAGACACAGGTGGTAAAAAAACTGATGGGAAACTTTGCTCTTAGTTTTCTATACAAGCTTCTGCTCTCAACTCACTAAAGCAATTTATTCAATATTTTATTCAGAAGTTTGCTAAAAATAGAAAGGATTCTGAAAATGAGCCAAAGAACAGGATGCTTCACTGACTCCTTTAAAAAGTCATTTTGTGCACAAGTCTGTCTTTGAGATTTGACCCTAAAACACTTGATCATTTCTCAACATCTTAGATTAAAACTTCTTGGCGTTTTGTGTGAACTGACTTGCAGCGACGACCGTTGAGCCTCAGGCCTCTCCGGCTGCAGCTCTCAGCTCTGACGGTGCAGCGGCACCGACACGACGTCGCGTCCAGGGCCCACTTCCTTCCTCTGCAGGGGCGGCATCGAGGGGTCGGGGAGGGAGAGGGCGAAGGAGGTAGAGTGGTAGGAGGAGGCGATGAAGGAGGAGGAGAGGGCGTGGAAGGAGGAGCCGAAGGAGCCTGGGTTCTGAATAGAAAAGAAGACAAACAACAGTGTAATTAGTTTCAGAAACATATACTGAATATTAAAAGGAAAGGAGTTTTAGGCTAGAAATATACAAAATGACGTAAATCAATATAATATATTTAAAATGGTATGAAACGTTATGAAAATACAATAAAATATAATTTGCTTTAGACTTGCCACATAAAAGCATCAAAACAATATTTAACTTACCCAACATTCACTACAACTTTAAACTGAGTACAGTTCAGCCTCATAGGAAGTTTTTTGTTTTGTTTGTTTTGGTCAAAATAAATGTATGCCTAATTGTGAATTTGGGTGCCAAACTGAAGAGATGTGATGGTTTCAAAATATCCCTAACTTTGCTGGCCAACATTAATGACTTCATCCCTTTGTATTTCATTTACAACCCCTAATGTCCACTTCACGGTCAGCTTCATTCTCTGCTGTCCACTAATTATTGAAATATTTCAGCCTGGACAAAAGCGACGCAGCTTCCGAGTGGCTAAAAATGAAATGCAGGGCTTGTTTGAACACGCACACAGCCTGTCTGAGACAAACCCCAACAAAGCCACTGTGTGGGAGATGTGTGACTAATGTGGGATAATGTTTCCTTAGCTGCTGACAAACTAGCTCCTTTTTCTGTCCGTCTGTCTCTCTGTCTGTTACCATGGCTATACGTTGGCCTCGCTGCCTTTCAGGCCTCCGGTTCCACCTCTCCATGCCCCTGCACTTTTGCTCTCCGAGGCCCGAGTCTGAGAAAGCTGCCTGCGTCAGTCGCTCCATTAACTGGAGCTCGTCCTCCCGGGAGACCGGCGGCGTTAATGAAGTAACTTAATGAGGCAGAGAGGGGCCATCTTTGTCCCCAATGCCAGTGACCACGCCTGCCGCTGGCATGGATCGAGGAGGTGGCATTTGGGAGCAAATTACACAGATTTCACCCCTGCCAGAGTCTGAATAAAGCCTTTTCTGAGTGATGGATGGGTGCTGAGGGACATCACACCCAAACAGAGCCACCTCTGGCCCCCCCAGGGGGGACCGGAAATGACTGACAGCAAAGCAGATTAAAAAAAAAACGAAGATGAAAAGAGCGTTGACTCTTTTATCTTTCTCCACTCAGGATTCTTAAGCTTTAAGGTTTATGTTTAAATACATGTGGTGAGAATTACGAAGCACAACATGTCATCCTGCTTATGACAGCAAATATTATTTATCTACAGGCTGAATGAGCTGATAACCGTGACTAAGGAGTTTAACAGTGGATTATAGTGTGTGTGTGTGTGTGTGTGCGAGAGAGAGAGAGAGAGACCTTGACTGTTGTTGGCTGTAAAACAAATAGTCCTTCAGTTCATCCAGATAACCCACTTTTCTCTAATAAAAACATTCGCACCGGGCCTGAAAGGTTCTAACAAAGGCTACTGAGTTAAAATAAAGGTTTACTGGTGTCACAAACATTCAACGTACACGGTTCTCTCGGGCTTCTTCTGTTTGGGCCTCCTGCCCTCCCCTTTCTTCTGTTTTCTGGCCGGCTTTAGGTCGGGCCTGAGAAGAGACAAAACGTTAACACAGTCGGTCAGAAGTTCACCTTCAGCTTCTTGTTATCAGCTTTGACATCTGTCACAAAAACCAAAAAAAACTGTTGAATTTGAATCCCAGCAACCGCCGGGTGCACCTCTGCATTAATATTAATATCTGAGGCCTGCACGGTGTTTTATGTTTATTCTTTTATTTGACAGAAATGGATTTCTCTCCTATTACACACATCTGGTTTTATATACAATCAAACAGTTCTTGCACGCCAACTTGAATTTGAATCTTATTTCGGCACTTTTGTTAAAACGTGAAAGGAACTTTTTGAATAATAATAACACTGGATAAGATTTGGGAACTAAAAGTCACAGCTTGGTGGCTTTTCCTGTTGGTTTCATGTGTTGTGAATTCCCTCTTTGAAAATTTCTAACATTTTTTTTACTTGTACATTGTAATGTGAGTCATACGACTGTACAATTTGTTAAAAACCTAATAAACAAAGTTGGAAATAGTTTTTTTAGCATCTTAAAAAAGTTACTTTTTCACGTTTATCCTTGGGCAGCATTTCAATTTGAAACCTTCATATTTTTTCACAACTCCGCTCATAAAAAGTTAATTTTTAATAACATCCCTTAAAGAAATATTTGTTAATATCAAATACACAACAAACATATTAATCAATTAAAGATCCTAGATTAAAGAAAACTTATTGCCTTTCCTCAAAATTAGCAACAAAACACAGCAGGTCTCAACAGACAACATCAAACAGTAAAAGTAAATTCAGCGGGTAAAATAAGTATTGAACACATCAACATTTTTCTCAGTAAATTTAATACTAGAGGTGCTAATGACGTGAAATTTTCACCAGATGTCGGTAACAACCCAAGTGATCCATACATACAAAGAAATCAAACCATAAATGTCCAGAAATGAAGTTATTTGTAATGTGGAATGGCACAGGGAAAGAGTATTGAACACGCTTAGTGAAATTTATCTACTGCTTTGTACAAAAGTCTATGTCAATGACAGCTTCAATACACCTCCTGTATGGAGAAACTAGTGGCATAAATTGCTCAGGTGTGATTTTGGCCCATTCTTCCACAAAC